AAATGGTGGACGTTGTCACTTTGGACCGAAAAGAGAGCCGAGGTTTCAGAGGTTTACGGGCTTGTTTTGGCAAGTTTTAGTGAGGTTCCAAAGCAAACAGCGGAAAAACGCGTTTTTTTTTCGCTGGCGGCGCGCGCGCGCCGCTAATTTCTTTTTACTTAAAAATTACTTCCGCGCGAAACGCCGCGCCCGGCCAAAAAGACGGCGCGAACCAAATGGTGACAGGCCCAGTCGGCTACGGCGCTGCATGGGTGATCGACACGCTCTCGACTTAATGATTGGGTGGGCCGTCATTCGCCAAAGGCGCTGCAGCATGCTCGAGGTGTCCTTCGCCAAATGGGAAATCCGCTCCGAACACTTATAAAGACAGTTTGTGCACTTCTTGCAGTCCAGTCATGTCACATGTCACATGTTGGCTTTTGAGTTGCACTCCTTGGCGATTTCATATGAAAGAAGATATTTCGGACTTGCATTTTGACACATATGCATTTGCATGTCATTTGCTTTCTCGGATCCAAACCCTCCACTTTTTATCAGGTGGAGAAAGGGGATGGTGGTGGCACGGGATTGACTTGCACGCACCCGGAAGGTCTTTTTGTAGCCTTTTCAGACTCCGCCATGTGCAAGGGCAGCAAAGGACAGGACGTGTGCCGCAGCCGTCAGATGCTCCGTTGTTTGACCTCAGAGTCCCCGGCTTCCTGAGCCTGGGGAGCATTCCATGTGTCCGGATGGCCCAAGCACCTTCACTGCGGCCTTCCTGCGAGCCTCGGGCTTGTCTGAATTTCCACAAAGCAGGCATCCGAAAGCCACAGCCAGGCCGTACCCAAAGGCTCCCAGAACCTCAAGGCATCAAGCAGTAGCATGCAGCTACTCAGCTTCAGCCCAAAGCCAGCCCAAGGGCTGTGGATCGTCGGGCGTGCCGTGCGCACCCCTCGAGAGGACATCCAGCAACTTCTCGAAACAGAGGCCGGCCGTAGCGTTGGAGTGCCGTCGTCTTCGAAGATCATGGGCCCCCAAACCCATCAGTTCTCTTAGGGGCATATGTGTATCGAGCCTCTGAACAACTCAACCTGTGAAGTTCAATGCAGCTCCGAAGGTAGCGCCTGCCGATGTCTTCTCGACGGGAGAGGCCTCTTTCGCGTCTTAGGGTCCAGAGCTTTGGTTGAAGATACTGCTGCGTCGAGTTCCGATTTGTGGACTCAGGGTTTGTGCAGGCTTTTCCTTTGACAAGACCATGGGCACTAAACAGCTAGACCCCGGTCGCCAAGGCCCTGTAATTGCCCATAAGTTTCGCACGATGAACAAAGAGCCTGAAGCGCGAAACCTTAAAGGCACTGAAGCCTACAGGCCGAAACCGTGAAACTTGAAAGCCCAAAAGCCCCGAAGGTCTAGAGCCCTTAGAAGCCCTCAGCCAGCAGAGAGGCTTCGACGTGGCTTTTCGACACTGAGCCCGGGTTGCGTGAAGCGGCTCCTCCCGAGGTCGCTTCAGTTCTCTCTCCGGTGTTCTCGCATTGAGCTCCTTTTTTGCTTACTGCAGGGCTCAGAGGTTTGAGTTTGTAGTCATTGTAGTCTTTTTGGGGGATTTGATGGTTTACGGATTAGCGGCTTGGAGTTTAGTGCAGAAGCACGGAGAAGCCTTAAAGATTGGCATATGCGCTTTCGGTTTCGACCCAGATCATCCCCAACGCCCGAGTCCCACGTTGAAAAACACCAGAATCCTAGATCTTAGAGCCCAGCCAAACTCCAGCCGTCAGAACCCGTCAAGATACATCACAAAACGACTTAATGCCTCCCCTGTCTCAAGCTCTTGTCAAGGCAGGTGCTGCTCTTCTGGAAGGAGAGTCAGTCGCTTGTCAAAGGGTACCTGTGGTTTCGGGTTCGGACTTCACGAATGCTAGGGAAATAGCTGACGTGCCGTCCAAAAATGTAAAGCCCGGAGCGAGAAGAGGCGCCACATGATTTGAACTGCATGCTGGTGTATAGTTCACGAGAAAACATGGCGTATATAAAGGCCTGCAGAGTCCCAGGCCAACTACCCTCACTGCGAGGGACTTCCGCACAATGGCAGCCACGTCGCTGGCCTGCACTTGAGAATACTTTTTGGCTTCTGCAGTTGCAGTAGCACTTGCCGGTGGTAATTCTGGAAGTTGAAGCAGCCGGCTTGGCAATGCTCCGGCTTCCAAGACGTGACAAGGTTATTGACGTGGCGCCCATCCTCAGCAGCAGCTGTACTTGGCACGGGGATCCAGGGCTGCAGGCGGGGAACATGGCACTGGAAGCGACCCAGTGCCACAGTCCCAAACCAAAAATCGATTCTTCGACTCAAGCTCCTGGCTTTTTCTGCGAACCATGCGAGGCTGCAAAGCCTTAAGCTGTCAAAGCTTGCCAAGTGGCCATCCACTACATGATTTCTTCGTCTGAGTTTGCCGCGAGGTGACTCTCAAGGAGCCGCTGACATTCCAAGGCACTCGTGACCTTTGACAGCCGGGTTCGGGGCTTTTTGGGCTACTGGAATCAAGTCGTTGACGTGTATTGAGAGATTCGAAACTTCAAAGGCTTAACGCGAGCACTGTGGTTTCAAGAACTGTGGGCAGGCAACTTGGTCTTAATGGGTGAGATACAGATCATCGGGGAGCAGGAGAGGGATGGACCCTGCATCTCGGGCTGCATGAAGAGCCGTTGATGCGCCATCAGCCAAAGCATACCCAAGAGGAACGGTGCAAGCAGTTCGAGCTTACGGCCCTCCTTAAGGTATGAATGTCAGGGGGCAGATGAGGGTGACCGCCGCCCGCGCCAGCTTCGTTGGCTGCAGAAACAGACTGAAGGCTGGGACAATTTGGACATGGATCTGGGTGGCATCCGTGCAAACTTGTAACCCTGAAACCCTAAACCCTAAACCCCACTGTAAACCCTGAAACCCTAAACAATAAACCCTGAAACCCTGAAACCCTAAACCCCACTGTAAACCCTGAAACCCTAAACCCTAAACCCTGAAACCCTAAACAATAAACCCTGAAACCCTAAACCCTAAACCCTGAAACCCCAAACACTAGACCCCCGAGCGCCGAAAACCCAAACCCCGGTCGCCCGAGCTCGTAAGACGGCCGTATGCGATTCCGGCAAGGCACATTTCGCTGCTAGTCTTATCCTCAAATGGGTAGTTCTCTAAATTAGGGTCCCCTTTTTAGGTCCCCAATATAGTCTGTAAAGGGATCTATAAGGGGGGGTTTCGGGCTTTAGGGCTTAGGGCTTTAGGGGTTTGGGGCTTTAGTTCTTAGGGCTTTAGGGGTTTAGGGGCTCCTCAAATTCACCTTCTTCTGACTGGTTCTTGGTAAGGAACGGGGGAATATGTTATTGGGACTACTACAGGGGACTTTAAGGGACTATCATAGGGATCCATTCCCTCATTCCCTACTAAGAACCAGGGACTCCTTGATGACGAGTTTGTATGCTTGGCAACGACCGTGTGATGAGGGATTTCGGCATGCTGCTCTCCATCGGCATCATGGGCAGACAGTTCCTCAAGCGACAATGCGCGATGGAACAGGTTTGTTCAGTGGAGCCACAAGACTGCTCACAAGTTCTTGTGATGCATGCCTTGTCTTCGTCCCTAAGCATCGCAGTGTGTGCCAACGCTGGCCACATTGCCAATGTCAGCTGTTGCATCGCCAACAGCCTGGAAGTGGCCGAGCACCTAAACTGGCAAAGCCTGGACATGCACTGCCTATTTGTGTGTCACCCTCTGCGTCGAGATGTTCCGTGATCAACTCCGAACATCCAGCATGAGACACAGCATGGTCCGCTTGACATCAACACCAACATCATGACGTTGTTTTCAAGCAGCATCAACATGCGACTGCATGAATTAACTGTTTCTTCTGTTCTCAGGGGGCAGGTCACGATCGAACAGATTTCTTCGCATAAAGAAGAGTTGTCGTCTCTCGCATCTTCCGCTTCTCTTCATGCTACTTGGATCTCTTCCATGCAGTCGGCTGGAAATTTAATCGCGTGGAACGCTTGGCACATGGATTCCACTGCGACCTGCTAGCAGGCATGTTGTGTCATCGATGCGAACTGGTCACAACTTTACACAGGGTTTTCGGACGACTGCCAGGTTTGTGGTGTCAAGTTTGCAGGTTCGGAACAGATGCTTCATGCCGTCGGCCAGGAAGGAAAGGGCGGAGCACTTTTCATCGAGCAAGACTTCATCACCGACAACAGCGACGTCAAGTTCGAGAGCTGCGCCGCAGAGGAAGGCGAGTGCTGCACACGGTAGCTGCGCTAGACCTCGGCCTCACAAAGCAAGCCGAAAGATGTTCCAGTGGTCCAGCGACAAGACCCCCCCCCCCCATTCCGTTGCCGGGGTACGCTCGCATTCAAAACCCAAAGAGACATGTGTTGCAGCTTCTGCGCACATTGCCACCCCAAGGAGGCGGTCTCTATGCCAAAGGCGGCTACCAGCAGGAAGCCGGGAGTTCGGTGCACTTCGAGCACTGCTCAGCAGACGGCGGCGCCTTGGCTCCGCTATCATCCTTTCGACAGTACTTGTGTGCCTGAGTTTCCCAAAGACATCGCTGGGCTTCATGTTGAAGCATTCCTTTTTGCGGGGATGCGGCCTTGAGAGTGATTGTTGACTCTTCCAGAACTGCAGGGCAAATTCCTGCGCAAGTTGAAACGATGTTTGCCTTGTCTTGTGTTTCGGAAGGGCTTACAAGAAGTGGGTTCTTCCGTCGGAGCGCCCTGGCAGTGGAGGGTATTTATGAGCTTCACGGTATCGGGGTGTCCTCGCGATGGCAATTCTGGTCTCATTCCGAAAGTGCCCTAAACCCTAAACCCCCAACCCCTACACCCAAAATTCCGAAACTGTCCTGGGCTCCATGGTTGAAGCGAAGTTCGGGGCCGGTCTTCGATCGCCCATCGGTGTCTTGTTTTTTGGGTGTCGGAAGGGCCTGTGGGAGCGGTCTTACAACTGAGGACCTCTATGCGTCTTGCGAATTAGGGTTTAAGGTTTAGAAGTTTAGGATGTAGGGTCTAGTCTAGTGTTTAGCGTTTAGGGGCAGGGCACTGTCAAGCGGATTCTTCGGAGCAGCTGAAGGGACCTGAACTCATTGCTCCGAGTCTTAGCCTGTGATGTCTCGCAGGTTTCGGCGGTGGTGCACGCGTGGGGCAGAACTTCACACAGGGCCCCAACAGCTCCGCCATCTTTCGCAGCTGCCGGGCGGAGTTTGGAGCCTGGGCAGCAGCTTGCCCCACACCCCACCCTGTTGGGCGTGGCCGTACTCGTTCCATTTGGAGCCTTAGCCGGACAGGGACAGCCCCTGCAATGAAGTGTCCTCAATGTTGGTGGCAATGCTGGGGGCATCCCAGACAGACATGTGAACAGGTTCGGCGTTTTCAGAGCTTGCAAGTCTACCAAGGAGGCGGCCTCCACGCCATAGCCGGCTACCAGCAGGAAGCCGGGAGTTCGGTGCTCTTCGAGCACTGCTCAGCAATGCGCACCTTGGCAGTCGAGGATGTGCACAAGTTGAAACGATGTTTGCCTTGTCTTGGGTTTCGGAAGGGCTTACAGGAAGTGGGTTCTTCCGTCGGAGCGCCTTGGCAGTGGAGGGTATTAATGAGCTTCACGGTATCGGGGTGTCCTCGCGATGGTAATCCTGGTCTCATTCCGAAACCCTAAGCCCTAAACCCTAAACCCCTAAACCCCTAAACCCTTAAACCCAAAATTCCGAAACTGCCCTGGGCTCCATGGTTGAAGCGAAGTTCGGGGCCGGTCTTCGATCGCCCATCGGTGTCTTGTTTTTTGGGTGTCGGAAGGGCCTGTGGGAGCGGTCTTACAACTGAGGACCTCTATGCGTCTTGCGAATTAGGGTTTAAGGTTTAGAAGTTTAGGATGTAGGGTCTAGTCTAGTGTTTAGCGTTTGGGGGCAGGGCACTGTCAAGCGGATTCTTCGGAGCAGCTGAAGGGACCTGAACTCATTGCTCCGAGTCTTAGCCTGTGCTGTCTCGCAGGTGACGGCGGCGGTGCACGCGTCGTGAAGAGCTTCACACAGGGCCCCAACACCTCCGCCATCTTCCGCAGCTGCAGGGCGGGACAATACGGAGCCTGGGCAGCAGAGTTCTTCTGACCGGTGCTAGGTGGGAGCCTGCTGGGAGCCTTCCGACACTCACCCTGTTGGGTGTGGACAAAACTTGCGCCATGGAGGCCCTTTTGGCGAACCGGGACAGTCCCTGTAGCAAAACTCATGGTCTCGGAGAGAGGGCATCCGGCTTGCAGTCTCCCAGACTTCGGAGTTTCCAAAGCAGCGGCCACTGCGGCCACCCCACTCGCCTCCCAGAATATCCAGGAGGCGGCCTCTTTGCCAAAGGTGGCTACCAGCAGGAAGCCGGGAGTTCGGCGCTCTTCGAGCTCTGCTCGGCAGAGGGCCGTATGAGCGCCTTGGCAGTGGAGGATACTCTGAACTTCAGAGTATCGGGGTGTCCTTTCAACGGTACTTCTGGTCTAAAATTCCGAAACTGCCCTGGGCTCCCTGGTTGAAGCGAAGTTCGGGGCCGGTCTTCGATCGCCCATCAGTGTCTTGTTTTTTGGGTGTCGGAAGGGCCTGTGGGAGCGGTCTTAGAGCTGGGGACCTCTATGCGTCTTGCGAATTAGGGTTTAGGGTTTAGAAGTTTAGGATGTAGGGTCTAGTCTATCTAGTGTTTAGCGTTTGGGGGCAGGGCACTGTCAAGCGGATTCTTCGGAGCAGCTGAAGGGGCCTGAACTCATTGCTTCGAGTCTTAGCCTGTGCTGTCTCGCAGGTAGCGGCGGTGGTGCATACGTGGAGAACTCCTTCACACAGGGCCCCAACAGCTCTGCCATCTTCCGCAGCTGCCGGGCGGGACGGGGCGGAGCCTGGGCTGCAGCGTTCTTCTGACCGGTGCCAGGTGGGAGCCTACTGGGAGCCTTCCGACAGTCACTTTGTTGGGTGTGGACAAAACTCGCGCCATGGAGGCCTAATTGCGAACCGGGACAGCAACGTGTAGCAAAACTCATGGTCTCGGAGAGAGGGCATCCGGCTTGCGGTCTTCCCAGACTTCGGAGTTTCCAAAACAGCAGCCGCTGCGGCCACCCCACTCGCCTCCCAGAGTATTCCCCAGGAGGCGGCCTCTACGCCGAAGGTGGCTACCGACAGGAAGCCGGGAGTTCGGTGCTCTTCGAGAACTGCTCGGCAGAGGACCATCTGAGCGCCTTGGCAGTGGAGGACAATATGAACTTCAGAGTATCGGGCTGTCCTCGCGATGGTAATGCTGGTCTAAAATTCCGAAACTGCCCTGGGCTCCATTGTTGAAGCGAAGTTCGGGGCTGGTCTTCGATCGTCCATCGGTGCCTTGGCTTTTGGGTGTCGGAAGGGCGTGCTGGAGCGGCCCTACGCGTCTTGGGGCCGGCCGTGCTAGAGAAACGAGGTGTACTGCAGGGTTTAGGGTTTAGGGGCAGGGCGCTGCCAAGCGGATTCTTCGGAGCAGCTGAGGGGGCCTGAACTCTTTGCTCCGAGTCTTAGCCTGTGCTGTGTACCAGGTTGGGGCGGCGGTGCACGCGTGGAGAAGTTCAGACAGGGCCCCAACACTTCTGCCATCTTCCGCAGCTGCCGGGCGAGACGAGGCCTGGGCAACAGCGTTCTTCTGACCGGTGCTAGGTGGGAGCCTGCTGGGAGCCTTCCGAATCACTCTGTTGGGTGTGGACAAAACTTGCGCCATGGAGGCCTAATTGCGAACTGGGACAGTCCCTGTAGCAAAACTCATGGTCTCGGAGAGAGGGCATCCGGCTTGCGGTCTTCCCAGACTTCAGAGTTTCCAAAGCAGCGGCCACTGCGGCCACCCCACTCGCCTCCCAGAATATTTTTCAGGAGGCGGCCTCCGCGCCGCAGGCGGCTACCAGCAGGAAGCCGGCAGTTCGGTGCTCTTCGAGAACTGCTCGGCAGAGGGCCATCTGAGCGCCTTGGCAGTGGAGGACAATATGAACTTCAGAGTATGGGGCTGTCCTCGCGATGGTAATGCTGGTCTAAAATTCCGAAACTGCCCTGGGCTCCATGGTTGAAGCGAAGTTCGGGGTCTTCGATCGTCCATCGGTGACTTGGCTTTTGGGTGTCGGAAGGGCGTGCTGGAGCGGCCCTACGCGTCTTGGGGCCGGCCGTGCTAGAGAAACGAGGTGTACTGCAGGGTTTAGGGTTGCTGATATCTAGCATTCCATGTGTACTGAGTGTTTGCAAGTGACCTTGAGTCTTCAGGAATTGA